AGAGAGAAGTCAGACAGCGCTACGGGGAAGAAGGAGAGGGGAAGTAAGATGGGATTGCAAGTGGCCAGGAAAAGAAAAAAGGTTAGTGAACAGCAGGATGAGGTCCCAAACGAAGGGGTGCCGCCCCCTCCCGATGAACAAGTAGAACAGGGGAAGAGAGGAGGTGGGAAAGAGAGAACCAGGAACAAAACAACTCGCAAAGGAACAATTAAGGATGCGAAACAAGAAGACTATCTGGGCCCGTTCACGAGATCGAGGAGCCGGGTGCAAAAGGCACCACTCCCATAAAAACAGCCACCCACTGATGGTTAGCCACCCTGACGAAGCCGGCAGGAGGCCGGCGAAAGCTAGGTGCTTTTAATTGTAAATAAACTTGTTATAGTTTTTATCTCCTGGTGGTCTCACAGTTGTGATTCTTCAGATATATATATATATATATATTCCTGTTCCTCCTTTTTGCAGGATATTGATGGACAAGCCCTTCTCCTGCTGACACTCCCAACGGTCCAGGAATGCATGGAACTGAAGCTTGGGCCAGCCATCAAACTGTGCCACCAGATTGAACGTGTGAAGCTGGCGTTTTATGCACAATATGCCAATTGACAACATCCTTTGCTTTCTTTTTTTTTTAAGGCCTTGCTTGCAATTCCTGTTTCTCAGCTCCTGGTATTTGGAAATATGGAGCCTCTGTGTATGCATAGAAATGTCCGCAAAATGAACTAAAGTAAGATGTGGAGCTGAAGTCAGAAATCTTTTTAAGGTGCTGGGCACCCTTGCGTGATCAAGAAGTGGTACAACCGGCTCTTAATAAAATAAAAGTTTGAAATCCATCACCATTTACCAGCAAAGCTTGCAAGATCAACTCTTGCTTCAAGTCATCAGTGATCCTACACACAAAAACCCAACACCGTCATTTTCACTCAACGCATCCCGAAATAATTGACTTCTTCAACCAAGTCGTCATCAGACATCACTGAAATCCTGCAAGATTTGGCCATTTTGAAGTTTCTGCCTTTAACAAATTGAACAGTTTTAGGATATTTTAAAAATTAATTTGGGGTGAAATTAAGGAACCAAATACAGTTTATGCATCTAGGTTGTTGTTTTTCCCCAATGATGGTGATTTATCCCAGACAGTAAAGATTACAGCGAGTTCTTGATTTTTAGTGTCCAATTTCTAAGAATCATTTATCCTTGTTAGGTCTTCACATCAGTTCAGTACCCCATAAATTTTGGGCATTTTTTTAATAACATTTTATTAGTTTTCTGGGTTTACAATTCATAAGTGCTTACTAAGCAATGTGTTGTCTGGGTCCATTTATTTTACTTTACAATACATATTAAATTCCTAATTTCTACCCTGTTTTTCCAGCCATTGATAAAATACATCCCATACTTGAAAATATTCTGTGTCTTCCTTTTCTTTAATCTTCAGTGGAAGTCTACCCATTTCTGTGTCTAGGCTTTTGATAGGGATGTTAACTTTATACAGATAGGGATGCAAGTTGCAAAAAAAAAAAGCACTGTCCTATTTGAACATCCTTCAAGGATATATAAACTTCAATTTCCAGAATGCTCAGCAGTGGCTACCTTGACTGGAGACTTATGGGATTTAAAGCTTCACGTGAAATAGTTGGAATGACGGAATGGCCTATCAGAATCTTAATGCAAAGATGTATTATTATTTTTTTCTCTGTCTAGAATTACACTTTTTCTCTGCTTGTGGATCTTTGTTTAAAATACCCTTCAAAACCTCAGACAACATGGTTGCTGATAAGGTGAATAATTGGCTGGGGTTAAATTTACTGGCTTTTTTGTTTTAAAAAATTGTAAGCATGAAGGAATGGGCTAGTTTAGGACCGTTTTCTAAAAAAAGAAAAGAAAAGAAAAGCAGATTTTACCACTTAACAACAAAAACGTGCAGTTATGGATTTATTATTTTTTATTCTTTGTACAGGATTTTTTATATATGTAAATAAGAGAGACACAAATCTACCCGATATAATTTCATGTAAATAAGGGGGGGAAGGTTTATATTCAGAGTTTTAATATTTTAATTTTTATTCAGGCCGCATTTTTACTTGAAGATGAGTTTTTTTAATAAAGTCCTTCAAAAGCATCTGTGTTCCTTGTCCTCTTTTTTCTCCGTCGTCTTCTTCCCTTCATTGCAAAATATTCTTTTTTTTTTTTTCCTGTCCTTCAGCTAAACAGGTTGCAAGGATGGCTGGACTTTGAAATTCGCTAGCAGAAAAGCCATTCCGAAATTAATGTTGCTCCTGCAAGTATCCTCAATTTACGTCCAGTTGCTTAGCAACCATTCAAAGTTACGACGGTCCCCCCAAAAAAGGGGACTTGGATCTAAAATTCCGACGGTCACCCTCACCCCCCCCCTCAGGGTCACGTGACCTAATTTCAGGAGCTCAGCAACACAGCCGCAATTACAGCAGCGTCCCATTTTATGACAGTTTTTGCCCCCAAAAGAAGGCACTTACTTTTGGTTTTTGGCATAAACACACTATAGTGAACAATGGGGGGGTCGTTTAACAACTGCCATATGTGCTTAATGACCGTCACACACAAAAATGTTGTTAAAAAGATTTACAACCATTATGATTGACAGCCATAAGGGGCAGGCTCCATTATAGTCGTAACTCGAGGACTGTATTATAGAAATGCCTGCCTGAGCAGGGGGTTGGACTAGATGACCTCCAAGGTCCCTTCCAACTTTATTATTATTATTATTATTATTATTATTATTGTTGTTGTTGTTGTTGTTGTTGTTGTTGTTGTTGTTGTTGTTGTTATTATATAGGGATGCTCTGTTGTTTTCTTTCTTAACTGGGAGATTGTGTTTTTGTTGGGGGGGGGTTGTTATTCACACTGGAAATAAAGAAAACTAGATTTAAAAGAAAAAACGTGGGTAGATTTAAAAGAAAAATGTGGCCGCCATTTCTGTTCAAAGCCCCGTCCCCCAACTGTCTCACTTAGCAACCGAAATTTGGGGCACAATTCTGGTCGTAAACCGAGGACTATCTAAACCTGTGCTCTTGCCAAGCCAGTCGTAAAAAGCAGCGAAAGAACTTGCAAATGTAACAAGGCTTACTATTTGGAACGGCAAACCATTTGCAAGATGATGGAATTAATATGCCTAAGCGTAGGCTCATCAGAGGGGAGGTGGCAACACAAAGTGTATTTTAGCGAAATGGCTTTTTAGGACCATTAAACAAACCTCCGCTGTAATAAACTTGTTCTGCACCAAGGTAATATTCAATAAATAGGGCGGTTTATAAGCAATCAGGGACTCGGGGATGGCAAAATGGTGCCGTTTCAGCGGAACGGGGATTGTGATGAATTGCACGTTAGGCTAACAACGCGCAAGGAAGTAAGTGGCCTTTAAAAGGG